GGGGGGGGGGGGGGGGGGGGCATTTGATCCGTCGGTCGAAATGCCCTCCCTCTGCCAGAACCGGCGCTAGATGGCACCGTGGGCTTAGCTGGAGGAGGAACCGGCTTATCCGCTGGACTTAAGAGCCGCCCCTCCCTCGCTGCTTAAGCTACCGGACTGCATGGCCACAACCACCAGCTATTTTTTTTTCTTTTTCCAAACAGAAATGGCTTCTACAGGTTAAAAATAAATAAAAATAAAACACTTTTAAAACTCTCAACGGCGTTGCGAAAGCACCTGCTTCCAAGCAGAGGAGATCCAGGCGGATCCAAAGAACGGGGAAATTAAAATAAAACAACACGTCAAGGAAATGAAGGATTTGGGCCGGTTAAAACCGGGCGGAAGGGAAGAAAAAAATTTTTAAAAAAAAAGACGCCACAAAAGGAAGATTTGGCCGCTTCCGAGTCTTTTGGCCCTTGGGTGGGGTTTTTTCCGGTCACCTGGTTATTCTGACCAGGTGAGCGATCCTACCTCTGCTCTGTCAGTATGTCGAGGATGTTTTCAGCCAGCCAGATGTTCTTGGAGGTGACATCTCCGCCTTTGGGGGGGGGGGGGAAACAGTGAGAAAATTTGGGTCGCTGAATGAACTTTTAAGTCGAGGACTAACAGGAAAATCAGATTTCAAACGCCGCAGGTTTGAGGAAAAGCAAAACCAACAGGCAAGGATCAAGTCAGTTTCACCTCTTTTGCCGGGTGAATCCGACAACCGGCCAAGTCTTTTGCTCGTTTGATATAAACTGCATATAAACGGAATAAAATATTTATTATTTTTTTCTCTGGCTTTTGCTACGTTTGGAAAACCTCCCAGTGGTGCCCAGTTCATGATTTCTCTTTTAATTAAGAGAAATAATTCCCCCGACGATACCAAAGAGAGATCAGGAATCCGCTTGGGTGAGAAGAAGCCGGGCGAAACTGGCCAGGATCAAGTCAGTTTCACCTCTCCGGGGCGGAATTTCGGAACGAACCCCAGCCTTCTCTCCCCCCTCAGGGCACCCACCTGCGATCTGTTTCATGAACGTCATGCAATTCCCGTCGATGCCGATGATCCCATTCCTCACCATCTCGCGCAGCAGCCAAACCAGCTAAAAAAAGAAAAGAGAAATCACTCTGCCGTGCGGCTCTCCAGACGACGACGCGTCGACGCCCGGTCGCAGCCGTGTCGCGGCTCAGCCAAAACTAGACGACGTTCTGAAACTAAAATCACAGTGCAGAAAAGGGATTTTTTTAAAAAAAGAAAAAAAGAAAGAAAAGTTGAGGGTTTGGGATCGTCTCTCGGACACCGCGCTAGAGATCCTAAACGCCTAGGTTCTCCTTTCCCAACTTCGCGAGGCCTCTTCGCGACCTCCTTCCTTAAATCTGAGCCCGCCGTTCCCACGGTTGAACGCCGGTTGTTGGCGGGAAGGGGTGGGGAATCTCACCAAAAATGGGACCTCCCCCAAGGGCCGTACGGTTTCAGGGTTCCGGCAGTTACCCCCCAATTAAATGAGTCTCGAGCCAAACTTCCAAGACTTCAAAAGGATTTATTGGGAGTTAACATGTCCGGCACTGCCTGGGTGTAGCCGACTCTGAGACACATCCTTCATTGTCCCCGTTGACCCCGGTTTCCTCCTTTCCCACCCCCTGGGTGTATCCTAATTCATATTCTCCAATGGGACACCTCCATAGCCCATAGTCATCCTTCAAGCTCTCCAGCTAGAATTTTGCAGGGCAGAAACTCCGGTCGCCTAGTTACCATCTTTGAAAACATTGATGGAATGCACTTTTGGTTTCCAAGCTGCCGCACTGCTCCCCGCTCCCTTTCTGTTGGCAACTCTGACAAGACTTTATGAGTTGACACCTGGTTTCAGGTGACCACAAGGGCCTCCCAGCTGGATCCTGGGGTCCAAAAAAATCACTTCTGGGCTTAATTTGACCCTCACATCCACCCCTTGCCCCCCCCCACACGCACACATACATACACACGCTTCTCGGGGCTCAGAGAAACGCACAAGCCCGCTTCCCACCTGGGTGCGACAGGTGTCTTGCAGTTTGAGGTATTTCTCCATGAGAATCTGGTTCATCTTGGTCAATATGGTGCTTAGCCCATCTCGGCTCACCAAGGCCAGGTCTCGGTAACACTGCGGCACGGGGAGATTGGGGGGTGGGGGGGTGGAAATAAAAGGGGAGAATAGTTTGTTCTAGTGGCCGAACGCAAAGGAACAAGTGGGGTCTTTTGAGAGGAGTTGAACTGGTGGGGATTAGAGGGAAGAGGGATGGATAAGAGGAGGAGGAGGAGGAGGAAGAAAAAGAGGAAGAAGAAGAACAGGAAGAGGAAAAAGAGGAAGAGAAAGAGGAGGAAGAGGAAAAAAGGAGGAAGAAGGGGGGAGAAGTCCTATGGCCCACCCGGACTTCTTGGTCTGAGATATAACGGTGATGGGAAAGTCCAAACTTGCAATGCACCCAAAGTATTAAGGGGAGAAACGGGTGTTAATGCCAGACAAACTTCCACTCCTTCCAAAGGTGGAAGAGAGAAACGGGTGTTAATCCCAGACAAACCAGAACGAAAGTCTTGTTACCTTCTGGGCTTGAGCAGGCTCCGTCAGGATCATGGTAAAAAGGCCCAGGCAGACTTCCTCGTGCTGGGGGGCACCTTTGCACACCTGGCGGATCAAGAAAGGAAGGTAACCCCAGTGGCTAAGGGGTGGGAGGGAAGGAGGGGGGGGAAAAGGGGCACAGAAACTCTGCTTCATTTCTACACCGGGGGGCTGGAAATCCTGGGCCTCCAGGTCGGAGAGGAACCGAGATCCGAAGCGAAGGAACTAAAGAAACTCACGTGGGCGTTCAAGGCGTCGTTGGCTTCCCTCTCCGAGAGCCCGCCGGTCAGAGAGGTCACCGTCCCCATGCACCTTTCCAGCTTCTGAAAGACAAAAACAAAAAACAAACCATGGGGCCAACTCTTGGAAGACCTTCAACTGATGGACCAAGAAGTCCAAGGCCCCAACAGCTCCCTGTTGGGAGGGGAGAGGAGGAACACGGGCGGTGTGGGGAAGGTCCATCGAACACGGGGCGGTGTGGGAAGGTCCATCCAGGAGGGTCTGACAGGCCAAAGAGAGGAGGAGAGGAGCGGAGGAGAGCAACGGTCGGGGCTGTTGAGAAGGTAGAACGGCTTCCTGGCTGACATCTCAAGGCTTCCTCCCCCCCTTCAGAAGCTCCCAACAGCCTTGAGAAGATGAGTTGGATGCCAAGGTGAACCTCCAGCTCCGGGGAGACTCCAAGGCCAAGTCAACATCTAGAAGAATTTCAGGGGCAGCAAAACAAGCCTCCTTCTTTTCCCCTCTTCCTTTCTGCCTCACGCCTTTCTTTCTTTCTTTCTTTCTTTCTTTCTTTCTTTCTTTCTTTCTTTCTTTCTTTCTTCCCTTTCCTTTCTCTGTCTTTCTCACTTCCCATCCCTTTTTTATTTATTTCTCCCTCCTTCTCCCTTTTTTTCATTCTTCCTCACCTGCCATCCCATCCCTTTATCTATCTATCTTTCATTCTTTCTTTTTTTCTTTCTCTATTTTCTCTATCATTATATATCTTTATCTTTATCTATATCTCCTCTATCATCTCTCTTTCTCTCTTCTCTGTCATTATCTATCTTTATCCTCTTTATCATTATCTATATCTTCTCTATCATCTCTCTTTATCTTTTCTATCATTATCTATCTATCTATCATCTATCTATCTATCTATCAATCACTGATAGATTAATTTCTATTTATCTAATCTATCATCTTTCTCACTTCCCATCCCTTTTTTATTTATTTCTCCCTCCCTCTCCCTTTTTTCTTTCTTTCTCACCTGCCATCCCATCCCTTTATCTATCTATCTTTCATTGTCTTTTCTTTCTCTATCTTCCCTATCATTATCTTCTCTATCATTATTTATGTCTTCTCTATCATCTATCTTTCTCTCTTCTCTATCATTATCTATTTAACTATCTATCACTGATAGATCAATCTCTATTTATCTATCATCTTTCCCACTCCCCACCCCTTCTTTCATTCTTTCTCCTTCCTTCCTTCCTCCCTTCCTTTTCTTTCTTTTCCTTCCCTTTTTAACCTTTCCGAGGGCGCCCTTTTCTTCCTCACTCCTGTTCTTTCCCCAGAGATCCTCTGTCACACCATTCCCACAACCCTGTGGATTAGCAGGAAACGCCTAGAGGACAAGCAGGCAGACACTGACAGAGTCACAGAGTTGGAAGGGAACCCCCCAGAGGCCATCTAGTCCAGCCCCCATCCCACCGACCGGAGAAGGAATAAGCACCACCATGACCAAGCCAACCCCCCCCCCCCGCCACTGTCTCAGGCTCGGCTCCTCTCACCTGGCGGGGGGGGGAAGCCAAGCAGAGAAGCCCCTTCCTCATTGCCCCCCCCAATAAATACCCACCTCTTCCAACTCATCCTTGGCATCCAGGCTGGTGTAGATCAGCAGCTTCCCTGCTCCTCCTCCTCCTCCTCCTCCTCCTCCTGCAGACCCCCCAGCTGCAGAGGCCGGGCTCCCTTTGCCCTTCTCCATTTTGGAGGTGGGGGGCACGATTTAAGAGGGTGGGCAAGACCCCCCCACTGCCTGCCCCCTGAGCAAGCCTGCCTCTGCTCTCTCCCCCCCCTGGAAGGGGGGGGGGCTAGGAAGGGGAGGGGGGGCAAAAGAAGGGGAGCCCCCCACTCAACCCCCCCCAGGCCTTTTGGGTGGGTGGGGGATAAAAAGCACCCCCTGGAGGAGGGGAAGGGTCAGTTGGGGGGGTGCAAAGAGGGGGCTAGCCTAATCCCCCCTCCCCATATGGACACCCCTTATCTCCCTATTGGGGAGGGGGGCCACAGGCCCCCTCTTCAGCCTGGGGGGGGCAATAGAGAGGGGTCCCTATTTGGGGAGGGGGCTCCAGCTATTATGGGGGGGTCTATATTAGGTTGTGTTTAACCACTGATTTTTTTGGAGGGGGGGGTCTTTCTAGGGTCTGCTGGGGCAAAGGAAGGGGGGGGCTGTCCTGCTCCTAAGGGGCGGGGCTTAGGGGCTGGGGGCTCCCTGGGGGCGGGGCTTCCGCCCCAGGAGGCGGGGCTTGAGCGGCGAGGCTCAGGGAGAGCCTCTCTGGGGAGGCGCTGCTCCCCTTTTTCGGGGGGGGGATTGAAAAGGGGGGGGGGGGGGAAGAGGGGGGGGGGGGGCTCTACGCGGGGGGGGGGGCAGAAGGGAGGGGGGGAGCGTGCGCCGCTTCGCCCCCCACCCAGCGGCACAAGACCGGAAGTCGGAGCTGGGGGACGAGCGAGTGTGTGAGGGAGCGGGCGAAGGAAACAGCCCGGCCGGAAGTTGCCCGCCTTTCCTCCTCTCCCCGACACCGTCACACGCCCACCTCCTCGCCCTCCTTTCGACCTATCGCCGCTCGAGGACGGCGGTGAGTGACAGGCGACCTCTCGGCGGGCCAATGAGGGAGAAGAGGGGCGGGAGGGGGAAAAAGGGGGAGGGATCTCAAATTCCACTCCGAGGAGGACGTAGACTTAGGAAACGTGGAGAGGAGCAACCCTCCTTATCGGAAACTCGTTGCCGGGTTCCTTTACATCTTGTTAAAACTTTTAGAATCAAGATTTAATCCTTAGACCCCACTTTACATTCCAAATATATCACTGCCTTGCAGGTTGACAAGCGGCCATCCACAGAGGAAGATAATATAGTAGCGACACCAATAGTGAAACCCATCCCTAAGCTGGTCTACAAACATGCATGGGGTGTATCTTCACATTTCGTACCTCTATGGAACTCCTCCGCTTCCCTCCCCCCTCACGCATGCGCCTTAGGCCCCATCTTTCTCGCTTTTTCCCCCACTTTTTGCTGTCGCCTCGACAGCCTCCGCCTGCACTCCAGAGCTCCCCCTCCCGCCGCCGCCGCGCATGCGCCGTCCCGTCCTTTGTGGGCCACCTGTTATTCCGCCATAAGAACCCCACTTTCGAATTGCCCCGCTTTCTGATCAAGGGCTGAACTTCTGCCACCCGCTTCTTCCCCCTGTGCTGGTTAGAGGGGACCGTCCGTTTAGGAATTAAAGAGCTGTTTCCCACTTAAAGGGATGGCATTGTGGGAAATGTAGTTTCTGCATCACGTGGTCCCACCTGCGCTTCCGATTGGCCCCTGGGCCAGGCTTCTGATTGGTTGAGACCAGCGGGGGTTTTTAATGAATGAATTGCAACGCTCCCCCGTGGGAAGAAACTGCCTCGTTTGTGAATGGGAACCGTAGAACGAAACACACAGATTTAAGATACTTAAATGTGAGACAATGGGTGCAAAGTGAGATGATTAAGCTAGAATACTGTATGTCAGAAAACAATATAGCAGATCATTTTACAAAGGCCCAAGGCTCTTATAAACCATAAGGCGAGCTGTGAAGATTATGGACTTAGAATGTAAGATTGTATATATTGTCTTACCCAAAAGGGGAGAATGTAAGGAATATAAGTCACCTAACAGCTATTCGGGTTAGAAATATATAAACCAGGATAAACATTTTAGTACTATGTCTTTAAGAGATTGCAAAAACTGCAATTGGGTGTGGTTTTTCAAGCAGCCATAAGATGGAGCCAGAAACCTGGGTTGTCTTAGTCTTAGTCTCAGAAGAGAGTGTGAGTATCTCTGTTTCCTTCTGTTGGAAAGTATTGCCCCATTTCTTCTAATTGACTGATATTACTGGATTTAACGTAAGTCTGATACTGAACTGTTTTTGACACTGGAATTTGTTATTTGGATTATCCCTGGATTGAAAACTGACTGATTTACTTGTGAGTGACTTTGGACTGTGTTTGGACTTTGCTTAAACCTTTCTGGAAGTAAAAAACCTACATTTACCGTACAGTGTATCTGTGTGCTGTGTTTGTGTATTATTCAAACACTTCTCTCAGATACGTCTCCCTGTATGCGCTCATTCTCCTAACGGGGAATTACCTCAACAGAAACCATGCCAAGAACACTTCACACTTGCAACAAGCAATCCTGTTTTAGGAGCGACAGTGTTCCAGCCCGTTTTTGCTCCCAGGAGGCAAAAAACAGAGCATTGGTGGGGGGACAACATACACAAACCACCCTGCTCCCACGTACCCTTTTTTGCCTCCTGGGCCTTGAAAGCAGCCTGGGCGAAGCAGTAAAACAGGGAGGGGGATCCTGGAACAGCTGATCGTTGGAACAGCTGATTGTTGGGAGAAAAGAAAGAAAGAAATCCACAACAAGGCTGGTTTTGGGTGAAAAATATATGAAATTCCTGGGGAAAAAAAAACCAATTTCCAAATATTTCCAGAAGGGGTTTACGCCCTTCTAATTCCGGCCAAACCGAAGTATCTCGTGACAATTTGAAGGCTCCCAAAATGATGATGCCTTCAAAGAATATCGTCAGAATGTTCTTTGAAATGGTCAGGAGACAATTATTGCTTAAAAATTGCAGCCACAAATATCTATCCTAGCTTTTTATTTTTGTTTGTCTTTTCAGCGTCCAAAAATACTGCCGTTTCCATGCACCAGGGAAATAAATCTTCTCGAAGGGACTAAAGTAATGCAATTGGGAGGAAATGAAATCCAAAAGATCATTTAATTATCCTTTTTTCTCAGATGCAGAGCAACATCCTCCTTTAAAAAACAACAACAACAGGACATTGGAAATGTATTTTGAATAAAGCAAGTGACATTTTCCCCTCTTTTTTTTTTTTTTTTCAAGCTGCATTCGGGTGAACTCACCTCGCTTTTTTTCCAGCGCTCAGATCCTAACGTGATTTGATTTTGCTCATAGCCAAATTAAGTTTTAAATTAAGACAAATTCCTTGTGTGTTCCAATCGCGCTTGGCCAATAAAGAATTCTAAAGCAGGAGGCCCTATCCCAAACTCTGCTTAAAAGCCTCCAGTGATGAAGCAGCCACAACTTCTGTAGGCCGTTCCAGTGATGATTTGTTCTCACTGTTAGGATGATATGTTGGGTTTAAAGGAGAGAAAGAATGAACCAGTCAGGGGAATTAGGTGCATCACACCGAGGAGGGATATCTTTTTTAGGAAGCCCAGAAGGCACTGCCGTGAAATGGGAGGGAGGGAAAGATGGACACGCAAAGCTGTGAATGTTAGAAAACAACATCCACGCACAGGTAGTCCTCCACTTATAACCACGGTGGAGCTCCAAATTTCTGGTGCCCAAGCGAGACATTGGGTTTAAGACATTTTGTTCAACGACATTTTAACCACTTGTCTTGCCATGCGGTCATTACATGAATTCAGATTTTCCCCATCAGAAGATCGCAAAAGGGGATTTACCCCCAGGGACGATGCGACTGTCGTAAATACGAATCAACTCCAAAAATGTCCGAATTTGGATCGCGTGGCCATGGGGGAATGCTCCAATGGACGTAAGCATAAAAAAAAAACTGTCTCAAGTCCCTTTTTTCAGTGCTGTGGTAACTTTGGACACTAAACGAACTGTCGTACGTCAAGGACTACCTGTATATGTTGTAATTTACAGTCCCCTGTGACCCTGTTTTCCCCCCTCCCCGCTGGATGTGTCATAAATCAGATTCTCCAATTAGATATATTCCCGGGCAAAAGCTCTGGTAGTTTAGTTGCAACCTTTTAAAGAGAAGAGTTGGAATGTACTTTCATTTTCCAAACTGCTGCACTGCCCTTCCAGATTCCCCACCCCCCCGTTTTTTTTCATGGCAACTACTAAAACAGGCCTAGGAATGTTTTGTGAGTTGACAATAGACAAGTTTTCCCACCCTCCCTTCTTTGAAATCTACCATCCGCCATTTTAGTTCCTCCGATTCAAACCGATTCGCTTTGGCAAAGCAGCAACCGGGACTTCGGACCATGTGCAGAGTGCCGCACCCCACCCACCACAAAGGCTCGATGAGATGCGGGGGGCTTTCAAAGCTTCACATCCAAGAACAAAACCCCCTTGGAACTTCACATCAACCAACAACAAAAGAGGGAGTTGACCTATACATTCTGTTTATTGTAAAATCTGCAGCTCCCAGGAAGCCGCAGGATTGTGTGTGTGTGTGTGTGTGTTTGTGTGCGTGCAGATCGACTATCACAAGAGCTGTGTACAGTCCAGGCTTCCCCTTGTGACAGCCAGCTCAACCACAGAAAGTTCCAAATTCTCCAACGTCCCCAGAAAAGATGAGGAAGTGGCCCGTAAAAGTGACGGAGCATAAAGCCAGCTTCTCCAGAACTTCCCATCATGCAGGTAGAGTAGAAGGCCTCTTCCAGGTCATCATCTCCTGATCTACCCAACCTTAGGACCTGGGGTGGTGAAGAAGTGAAAGGAAACGGGGGCAGGGGAGCAAGGATAGTCCCCTGAGGTCCATCCGTGGTGCCCTCAAACTCAAAGCCAATGGGTTCTTTGAAGACGATCTCGGGTGCCTCAGCTAAGAAGGTGGATCTCCTTGAAGGAAACAGGAGGAAGTATCTTCTCATCACCCTCGGGTACTGCTGACCCGTTCGCCCATCAACCAGTATGTCCGGAGTTTCCCCTTGCCCTGTGATGGAGGAAGGAAGGTCTATCGGAGTCCAGGGTGCCTCCAGAGCCATCAGCCACCCAGTGTCTCAAGAACCCAGATGCAGGGGAGGACCTTCAACCCAACACACCGTCCTCCTCACCTTCATCTCTATGTCTCCTCGGAGGTCCAGTTCGAAGCACCCAAACTCTTCAAGGATGGTTTTGGTGGCCGCCGATAAGTGGATCTTCAATGCTGGAATGACCAGAGGAAGTTGCATTAGAGAACATCTGTACAGAACATCCGGATTAGAAGGACTGAACCGGAGAAAGGGAGCGGAGATGGAGACTAGGAGGCCATCCCAACAAGATGTGAGAAGTTGGAAGTCCTGAAGGATCCCTCTTGTGCTACATGGATGCAACCATGAAGGAGGTGGCCTCAACTGGTTCTTCTCGAGATGTTCTCGCTTCACATTGTGGAAGTACCTTGCTTCAACAGGCTCAGTAGAAATTGTCCTCAACCAAGTAGCCTTGAAGTCTTCTCCTAGGTCAGTTATTCTACCATCTCCTTAACTACCTACAAGCATCCAGCTGGTGTAGGACAGTCCAAACATCTGTACCACACACCTGCCTTCTTCTCCCAAACCACTTACCTTCACCGTTGGACTCCATGCGCGAAGCTGT